TAAATAAGCAAAATAATAGAGACTAATTTCATTCATAGTATTTCATCTTTTCTAAAAACTTTGCAGTAACCTACTGTCTTGCTTTCATGGCAAATGATTGAAACCCTGCTCTTTTTTTTTTTTAATTGCTGGCTTACTGTATTTTTTTTTTTTTTTTGACAGGCAGAGTGGACAGTGAGAGAGAGAGACAGAGAGAAAGGTCTTCCTTTTGCGTTGGTTCACTCTCCAATGGCCGCTGCGGCTGGCGTGCTGCGGCCAGCGCACCGCGCTGATCCGATGGCAGGAGCCAGGTGCTTCTCCTAGTCTCCCATGGGGTGCAGGCCCAAGTACTTGGGGCATCCTCCACTGCACTCCCGGGCCAGAGCAGAGAGCTGGCCTGGAAGAGGGGCAACCGGGACAGAATCCGGCGCCCCGACCGGGACTAGAACCTGGTGTGCCGGCACCGCAAGGCAGAGGATTAACCTAGTGAGCTGCGGCGCCGGCCGGCTTACTGTATTTCTGGCATGGACAATAAAGATGTTCTTAAGTTACTCGAGAGAATTTGTAGGAATTTTATTTGTAACAGGCTGGCCTAGGATTCAGAGAAACCCAAGTGCAAACACCAGGCCTACCTTTTATTGACTGTGTGATCTTCAGCAACTTGCGTACTCACTTTGATTCTTAATTTCTCTGTTTATAAAATGGGGACAATGCATGTATCCACTTCATGGAGTTTTGAGAAGGTTAAATTTTTAAGGATCTCATTCTTAGCATACATTGTCTTCTCAGTGTTAGTGAATATTCTGATTATTTTAGTCTGGGCTGAGTCACTGAAAGCTTTGCTCTTGGGGACATTCCTGATAGCATGTATAAACCTCAAGGATCATAGCAATCTGTTCAAGAGATTACTTGTCCTTTACCTGGTCTTCAGTCCCCCAAAGGAACAATAGTCATATCATTGCATTTTTATTAATATTTATTAATATCATTTTAAGGCAACCAATTGTGGCTGGCATTGTGGTACAGCAGTTGAACTGATGCTCCTGAAGACAGCATCCCATAGCAAAAGACTGGTTCAGATCCCAGCTGCTCCACTTCTGAGGCAACTCCTTGCTAATGCACCTGGAAAGCAGCGGAAGACGACCCAAGTACTTGGGCCCTGCCACCACATGGGAGACCCAGAGTTCCAGGCTCCTGACTTCTGCCTGGCCATTGTAGCCATTTGGGGAGTGAACCAGCAGAGGGAAGATCCCTTTCTCTCTTGCTTCCTCTCTCTCTCTCACTCTACCTTTCAAATAAATGAAATAAATCCTTTTTAAAAAGTAATTCCAATAATCGTTCAAATGAGAAAGATTTACAACACCAAAAGTTGATAAGAATGTAAAGTAACAAATTCTAATGTATTAGGAGAAGGGATATAAAATGGAGTAACCACTTTGGAAAGTTGGGGACTTTTAAAACAGTTACACATGAGGGTACTTCAAGGTATTCCCAGAAAAGTGGAATTAAAAGATAAATTCAGGAATGGGCATTGTGGAGTAACAGGCTAAGCCGCCACCTGCAATGCCAGCATCCCATATGGCACCGGTTTAAGTATGGGCTGCACCACTTCCGATCCAACTCCTTGCTAATGGCCTGGGAAAAGCAGTGGAACCAGGTGGGAGACTTGAATGAATTTCAGGCTTCTGGCTTTGGCCTGGCCCAGCCCTGGCCATTGTGGCCATTTGGAGAATGAATCAGTGATGGAAGATCTCTATCTCTCTCTCCATTCTCCATCTCTCTGTCTCTCTCTAACTCTGCCTTTCAAATAAATAAAAAATATTGATTTTGGTGCAAACATTGAAATCCATGCGTAATTTTTCATAATACACATTTCCATGAGCACTTTGAAGACCCCATTTGTATTTACTTCCGTGATTCTCAGAGTGTCCATAGTACAGAGGTTGAGAAACTCCGATTTACTCAATAACGTGGGCTCTACACCTACATCACTTACCTAAGTGTAAGGAACACATGCATTTAGCAAAGCATTTTGTAGCAGAATGTTCTTGGCAAGTTTACTTATAATATCCTCAAACTGTCCATCAACAGGAAAATAGATTAAAAAACTTAGGGTCCACTCATACAAGGCCATGCTACCTAGCAATAAATGGAAACAAACTACAGATACACAAAACTACCTGTCTAAATTAAAAAAAATTTTTTTTATTTGTGAAAGGCAGAATTACAGAGAGGCAGAGGCAGAAAGAGAGAGAGGTCTTCCATCCAGTGGTTCAATCTCCAAATGGCTGCACTGGCCGGAGCTGAGGCAATCCAAAGCCAGGAGCCAGGAGCTTCTTTGGGCTCTCCCCTGTAGGTGCAGGGGCCCAAACACTTGGGCCATCTTCTATTGCTTTCCCAGGCCGTAGCAGAGAGCTGGATTGGAGGTGGAGCAGCTGGGACTTGAACTAGCACGCATATGGGATGTTGGCACTTCAGGTGGCAGCTTTACCTGATACGCCACAGCGCCAGCCCCTGGCTGAATATTTTTTAAAAGTACACTGAATGGAAAGAGCGTGGACACAAAAATGATGTAAACTGCATCAGTTGAATTTATGTGAAATTCTAGAGAAGGCAGAACTGTGGTGACCGGAAACAGATCTGTGGTTCCTACTAGAGCATGGGAGACTGAGAAGGAGCACGCACAGACTTTCTGGCATCAACAGGTGTTTGACAAGAGTGAGTGAGCAGAACACTGTAATTCTGCGCACTTCTCTGTATGTATGAGCACCTCGAAAACTGTAAACGAGAAAAAGAAAAGGCAACCAACATTGAATTTGGGAGATAATTTTCTTCGGAAGAAGTTTCTGTTGCTGCTTCTCAACCTCTCCAGTACCCTTGTTTTCAGTCCTTGTCACTTGAGACATCTTTCTGGTATATGGTGGTAGTTTATTGCAGTTATAGTTTGTGTTTTCCCAACAGTTAGTGAAGTTGAGCACATTTTCATGTCTGTTGGGGCTTTGGATCTGATCTTTTTGAAATATTCATCCATTCTTCTATTGGAATGTCTATTTGTAGGAGTTACGTGTTCTGAAACACATGTGTGTATATATAAGTATTATATATCATGTCTTCTCCCACATAGATTTCATTCTCAATGGTGTCTTTTCATGAATAGATATTCTTAATTTTAATATGCTCAAATTATTATTTTTCTTTTATCATTAGTGTCTTTTGTGTCCACTTCAGGGTCACAAGGACATTCTTAGGTTTTCTTACTGACTTTTAGAATGCAGATAAGCCGTCCAACTGAAATTTTCTTTTTGTTTATGATGGGAGGAGAGAACAAATCGAGTTTTTTCCATGTCGCTATCCCACTGACCTAGCACCATTGTTTTGAAAGGATAAGCGCTTGTCCACTAGTGCATGTTCTGAAGGACTTGTAAAGAAGTATTTTCTGTTCCTAGCTATCTGCACAAACACTGGAAGCGCCTCGCATCGCTCTGCGCTCTCCCGTTCGCTCGCAGCACTGTTGACGGCCTGCTGGCGCCGCATGGGCTGTGTCTGTGTTGCATGGTGGCACCATGAACACGGTCGTAGACGTCCTTGAAGTTACACTTGGGCAGTCTCCATTTTGTTGCTGTTATTTTTGAGGTGCTGAAATGAACGCTTTGTCCCGACTGCCTGAGGATAAGTCGCGGGAGGAGGGCTGCGGGCCCTCATGCACACCTGTCTGCAGTGAGCGTCACCCCCACCACTCCTGGGCTCCCCTACAGGGGCCACTTTAAATCTCAACTGGGCCAGGAGACGCTTTCATTTCCAGTTCTCTTTTCGTAGTAGGAAAACAACTCTGTGCACCCTTATTAGCTATTTAATTCACTTTTTTGTTTGTTCGTTTGTTTTTGGGCTGTTTCTGCGGGAGTTTGTAATTCTGCGGCCACCACGTCCGGAAAAGATCAGCCCCGCCCCAAACCCGCTCCCACTTCTCCACCCTCGAGGGGCGGGGCCAAGGGCGCTCCGGCTGCGCGCGCAGCTTCTGTTGCCATAGCAGCCGGGCGGGACGGGAGACGGGGGCTTCCCAGCTCCGGTATCCCGCGGAGAAACGAAACCTGAGGGAGAGAAGTCCCCGGCGCTGCGTAACGTAGACGCCGTGACGCAAGCCCCGCCTGGAGGGCGCGTGCGCAGTGTGACCGTGAGGGCCCTCGGGCGGCCGCGGCGGGCGTTCCGTGACAGCGTGACCTGGAGGTGGGTCCGGGTACCACCAGGAGCGCCCCCCGCCCCCCGAGCCTCCTGGCTGGCAACCCCGCTGTCCAGGGGCTGGGTTCGCCGAGGACCCAAAGGAGCGACCACCCCGGGAAGCATCCCTGGGGGCGGAAATGGAGACTGGTGCCCTCGCGTGAGGCGGGCGAGTGGAAGCGCCGCGGCTCCAGACTGTGGGCTCCCTGGTGGGCGCGAGCCAAGGTAATCCAGGCCGGGTCGAGAGCCCGGGTCCTCCTCCCAGTTTCCGGGGTGCGAGACAGGAGCCGGGACGGAGTGCTCTCCACTCATTTCCGCCCCTGGAAATGAGCTCTTGGGGCGCCCCGGGGCCATGGTGAGCGCGGGAGACGCGCTTGTGTCGCTGGAAGAAGTTGGTCGAAGCACTTCTATAACTCCTCTCCGGGTGTGGACCGGAGAGGGAACAGCTGTGCGGGTTGCACGTTAGGCTCAGGGGTTTTACAGGTGTTCCCCTTGTGGCTTCGGGCGGGGCGCTACGTGACTTTCTGCGGGAGTCCGCAGTATAAGCAGAGTGTTTCTGGCCCACCCAGCAGACTTATGATGCCACAAAGCTCTGTGGAGTGCCTAGTGCACAGAACATGATTCCCAGACATTCTGTCAGCCACACGCTGCGGGCCGCAGAGATGAACTGTGGGTTAGAAGGAAGGGGCTGCCTTGGGAGAAGGAAACATGCCGCAAGAAAGGGAATGCGAGAGGCAGCTGGAAGTGAGCAAGGCAGGGTAGCCTCCGCTTACTGGAAGGTGAGGGAATGAGTTAGGCGGAGGGTCCGGCCGCTGCAAGGCCTTGGGCCTGGAAGGTGCCTGGGGTCTTGCAGTGCGGCTGCAGCAGACTGAGTGAGGGGCGTGATGATGATAGGTGGCACGCGGCCGGGGTGCAGTCAGGAAGCATGGGTGTGTTGGATCACTGTAGTTGTCCTCCGGCGCAGGTAATTCTATAGATTGCACAGCCCACCTCTAGCCACTGATTGATAAGTGACCGAAATCCAGCTTTTTCCAAAACCTAGTTGAGATGCAAGCATGATGGCGGTGGCCAGTAGGCACCGTGTAGTTAAGACAGAAGAGGCTGTGATGGACTTCACCGGCCCTTGTTGAGGATTTCAGTGAATGCAGAAAGGCCTCGCTGTCGCTTTCAGAATTGTCTGGGTGTGAGCGTAGCTACTAACGGTGCAAATCAAAACAGAAACTCCTAAGTGAGAAGAGATGTTGATGGGTAATCTTGACTGAGAGCAACTTTTTACACGTAATTTGTGCACACCTTGTGGCAAACAAACTGCTACTAACGTACAGTAATGACACCTGTTAGTTCAGGGAGTACACACACCGGTAATGTGGACAGGCTTCTAAATAATTGAAACATAAAAAGGTGAAAACTGCACTAAAATATCAATACAAAAGTAAATGCTAGTAGAATACAGTCACCTGGATATTGTTGTACTTATTATGTCAGTAGCACAATTTAAAAAGTATTTTAAAAGTTTATTTGTGAGGCAGAGAGAGTGAGCAGCCATCTGCTAGCTGATTCAGCAAATCCCCACAAAGGCTGGAACTAGGCCAGGATGAAGCTCAGAGCCAGGAACTCAGTCCCAGTTTCCCACAGGGGTGGGAGGGACTCAATTATTTAAACTTTCACCTGTTGCCTCCCAGGGTCCCCATTAGCAGGAAGCTGGAACTGGCGGTGGAGCCAGGGCTTGGAGCCAGGTGCTGGGATTGGGCGCGTGGGCACCTTCAGTGCTAGGCTATCTGTCCTAGCTGCTCATTTCTGTTTCCCAAACATTTGTCAGTTTTTCCACATTGAACAAATTTCGATTCAACAGGGTATGCTCAGTGAGACAGAATCCATGATTGAGTCACTTATTGGTGACCATCACATGAACAGGTGTGTAAGACTTGCTGCTCTTTCTGCTGGAACTCACATTTTCCAGCCTACAGCATCCAGCCATTCTCCTTTCTCTTATTCTCCTTTCCCTAGGGGATGGGTGTTCTTGGTTTCTTAGGCAGCATTACACAGAATATAGAGTGACTGTATATTTAATAAAAATACTTTTTCATTTTAAGGTTATGCTGCCAAAGTATGTAAGGAGTTTTAGGAGCAAGAAGAAATAATGAGACTTTAGAGTGTGGAGCTGACCAGCCATATGAGAGACAGGAATCTGGTTTAGAGACATGCCAAGGTGAACTGTTGGTCAGTTTCAGCAACAGGCAGAGAGAGACTAGAGTTCAGGTGCCAAGAGTTTACAGGCAGTTTAATGGTGAGTTTAGCTGGGGGCCTGTATTGGTGATTGGAACTACCAAAGTTGCGTGTTGATTTTAAGGGTGAAATCTTCATAGAGGAACTATGCAGCAGTTTTAGCAGCCCGAGTAGCAAATTAAGTGGCTTTTGGTAAGATAGCAGGACCAAGTACCAGATTCATGTGCAGGATCTTTTCCTAGAAGGAGATGAGGTATGGAAGGAATGGAAAAACGCTAAAAACCTCTTTTTAGAGCTTGACTGAAGGTCATGTTCGGGGATGAATCTCTGTTTAGACCACGTGGTTGGTGTCACAGCCTTGGGTAGAGAACTGTGGGGGAGGATCTCGATGGGTTGTTACTGTGATAGTAATAGCTGCTGTTCACTGATGAATATTCTTTGGTATATACTTTTATGTGTTATTATATTGTGTTTTATCCTCTTAAGAAAATGTCAGTCTTTTAAATAAAAAACTGAATTCCATAGTGTAAAGTAGTTTGCCCGAGAGCTGGAATTTGAACCCACGTCTGTTGAGTATCAAAACCACTACTCTTTTTTTTATTACAGATTGTTGGGTTATGTAACAGTTTGTGCTGGCGTTAGCCATCCCATTCTATGGGGTATGCCATGAGTGTGGTGAGATTTGCTGCTGCCGCTGAGACGTGACTCACCAATAAACTTGATTGATTTAATTATGTGCTTTCTCTTCCCAGATTTTAATTGGACTTGAAAATGAGTAAGAGCAAGAGCAGAAAGCCAGCAGTGCAGCAGACACCAGGTCCAGAGACCTGCAGCCCAGATGTGCTTGCTGACATTTTTGAGCTCTTCACCAAGAACTTTACTTACGGAAAGCCACTTGATGATGAGTGGCAGTTACCAGGTCCTCAAGAGATGTTCACCAGTGAACACACGGAGTTTACTGCCTTTCTTGATTTGAAGAACTCCCTAAATGAAGTGAAAAACCTACTGAGTGATAAGAAACTGGATGAGTGGCATGAACATACTGCTTTCACCAACAGAGCAGGAAAAATCATTTCTCATGTGAGAAAAGCTGTGAATGCGGAACTTTGTACTCAGGCCTGGTGCAAGTTCCATGAGATTTTGTGCAGCTTTCCACTCCTTCCCCAGGAGGCTTTTCAGAACGGAAGGCTGAATTCTGTTCACCTCTGCGAAGCCCCTGGAGCTTTCATAGCTAGTCTCAACCACTACTTGAAATCCCATCGGTTCCCTTGTGAATGGAGCTGGGTAGCTAATACCCTGAATCCATACCATGAAGCAAATGACAATCTTATGATGGTTATGGATGACCGGCTTATTGCAAATACATTGCAGTGGTGGTACTTTGGTCCCGACAACACTGGTGATATCATGACCCTGAAGTATCTGACTGGACTTCAGGATTTCCTGAGCAGCATGGACACCGTACACCTGGTCACTGCAGATGGGAGCTTTGATTGCCAAGGAAACCCGGGTGAGCAAGAAGCTTTAGTCTCTTCTTTGCATTACTGTGAAGTTGTCACTGCCCTTACCACGCTTGGAAGTGGTGGCTCTTTTGTTCTGAAGATGTTTACTTTGTTTGAACATTGTTCCATAAACCTGATGTACCTGCTAAACTGTTCTTTTGACCAAGTCCATGTTTTCAAACCTGCTACTAGCAAGGCAGGAAACTCAGAGGTCTATGTGGTATGTCTCCACTATAAGGGAAGAGAGGCCATCCATCCTGTGTTATCTAAAATGATGCTGAATTTTGGGATCGAAATGACCAGGAAAGCTCTCTTTCCCCATCATGTGATTCCGGAATCTTTTCTGAAAAGGCATGAAGAATGTTGTACGTTCTTCCATAAGTATCAGCTAGAGACTATTTCTGAAAACATCCGCCTGTTTGAGTGCATGGAGAAAGAGGAACAAGCAAAGCTGAATAATTTAAGGGATTGTGCTGTATACTATTTCATGCAAAAATTTCAACTGAAACCTCTTTCCAAAAAGAATTGGTTAGTAAAAAAATCTAACATTGGTTGTAGTACAAATACAAAATGGTTTGGGCAGAGAAACAGATATTTTAAAACTTACAATGAAAGGAAGATGTTGGAAACCCTTTCTTGGAAAGATAAAGTTGCCAAAGGATACTTCAATGGTTGGGCAGAAGAGCACGCTGTCTGTCAGCCCGGGCAGAGCTCTCTGCTGGAAGGCACAGCTTCCAAACTGGAGTGTCACTCATGGCATGTTTTAGAAGGCAAGAAACTGCCAAAGGTAAAATGCTCGCCTTTCTGTGACGGCGAGGTTTTAAAGACTCTCAATGAGGCAATCGAAAAGTCTCTAGGAGGAGCTTGGGATTTGGATTCCAAGTGTGGGCCCACACAGCGGCCGCACTGTCCTTGTGACATTTTTTCTGCAGAACTAATACTTTCTGAGTTGTTTAGCCTCACCAAGTGCCTTCAGGATGAGCAGGTTGTGGAACCCAGAAACCAAGTGAAGTGCCTGCTCGTGGGTTTGCCGGCTCTCCAGAACGTCAAGGTGCACGTGCCAGTGGAAATTCGACTCCTGGAATCGGCTGAACTCCTGACTTTCAGCTGCTCCTTGCTTCATGATGGAGACCCGGCTTATCAGCAGTTATTTCTGGACTGCCTGTTGCATTCATTGCGGCAGCTTCAGACAGGGGATGCTATGGTTTTGCCTGTACTGTCCTGTTTAACAAGATTCATGGCTGGTTTGATTTTTGTACTTCACAGTTGTTTCAGATTCATCACGTTTTCTTGTCCCACGTCCTCTCAGCCCCTGAGGACCTGTGCAGTTCTGCTGTGTGTTGGTTATCAGGATCTTCCAAATCCAGTTTTCCAATATCTGCAGAATGTGAATGAATTTTTGAGCACTTTGCTTAACTCTGATTCCTCCCAGCAGGTTTTACAATTTGTGCCCATGGAGGTGCTCCTTAGGGGGACATTACTTAATTTTTTGTGGGATTTGAATGCTGCCATTGCCAAAAGGCATTTGCATTTAATTATTCAAGGAGAGAGAGAAGCAATCAGCAGCCTTCAAGTATGAAATTGAACATGGCCTTTCTGAGATTTAACTTTATGACCTCTCACAGTTTCTCAGTTATTGCATCCATTCACTCTCTCGATTCGGTACCTTTCATTTGGGGAAAGGGCAGCTTCTTCACTTCATCGTTCAGTCTTGCGAATTCTGGAAAGCCATCAGCTCGGTTAGGTCTCTAGGATGTGTCCATGCACAGGCACAGTTAGGTGAGGTGATGGTGTGCACCCTTTAAACACGCATTGTGTGTATCTGTCAGGGTGGACACGCCTATGCTGCTTATGCAGTCTAGGTGGTCTGAGCTGCTCAGGATGTGCCCCTGTGTCCGTTGTGGGGCACGGCTGGTGTTTGCCAGCTGACTTCCTCTCCTGGCTAGTGCTGTTGATGAGCATTTTGACAGAGGTCACCGATGAAAGGAGGCAACACTGCTGTCCTTCAGCACTGAGCAGGGCAGCTGCGGATTTCGGGGAACTCATCTTAGCAGGTGTCTTGGTGTGCCACCCATTGCCCTGAGACCACTGACCTGGTTATCTTCTATGCTCAGATGAAACTGGGGTGCTGTTCTGTGGGTGTCTAGCCAGCCGTAACCATCCAACTATGAAAGAGAGTGGAGCAGCTTCAAACCAAAGATCATGTTAAAACAATGAAAAATTGTAATGTCTAAGACTTGTCTGTATCATGAAAAGCTTAATGTAGGTATGGTATGGTGATTTTTTAACCTCTACGAAATAATTTGTGAATGAGAGGATTTTGAAATTTTAAGGTTCGGTTTATAGCCTCATGGGGAATGTGTGAGTGTGATGTGTGAGTGACGTACTGAGGAAGAATGCTAACACTTCGAGAATGACAGTTCAGCACACAACATTTTTTTTTTTTAACTGATTTTCTGTGTGGAAATAGCACTTTGCCTTTAAAATAGCCATGAGATGGTTATGTTATTAATTACATTTGATTTCTTTTGATTTGTTTGTATTTGTGCAATGAGCCTTTCTGGCAAACTGTTAAACAGTTCTTCATTATCTTTAAGTTCCACAGAGTGGAGAATACTTATATTCTCACATGTGCATTTTTAGGCATTTTGTTATATGAAAAATAGATTTATTCTCTGATGTATTTGGTTGATAAATATTAATCTGAAAATTTTTCATGTTCTTTGCTATTTTGAGTTCCATTATAGATTCATGAATAAAGTCATTAGCAGAGAGATTTTGTGTTCATCTTTTTTAAAGAGAATCATAGGGGAAGTTAAAAATATAACTTGGAAACAGACTTTTTTTAAAGGAAGGTTTGAATGGGAGTTAATGTTCCTTCATTTCCTCTGATTTGTATTCATTAAAATTTAGGCCTTAATATTGTAATATTTATGGAACGTCTACTTTGGGAGAGAAATTGAGTATGGCGGGGGTGAGGGGTGGGGAGGGAAAGATGTGGAGACTGGAGGTAGATTTCTTAAACAAATGTGATTTTTTACTGGTGACTTTATAGAAGTATTTCTAGTTTGTGATGATGCAGCTCTGGCAGAAAACAGATTACCAACAGAAAAAGCACTCTTGGGAAACCTCTTTGCACTTGAGTTTTTATGCCTTGTTAGGTTAGGGCTCATAGAAAGTGGTGTTCGTTTTTACTTACTTTAACTGTTTGAATTAGAAGGAAGTAGACATCCTAGGTCTAGGTGGAAACTTAAGCCCCTCAAATAAGTATTAATTATTTTTTAAAACATTGATCTTTATTGCCATACATAACCCTGGAGTATACTAGATTATATTTTTGACAAAGCTGTTGAAATCAGTTGCTGTTGATCTGATGTATTGGGTTCAGGTTGTTTTAAACATGGGGTTGATTTGAAGTTTCAAATTGAAGTGAATGAAAATGACAGGTCCAGTATTTTACAGGAGTCATTGACAGACAGGGGAGGGGAAATGGTCCCCCGAAATTAGTGAACAGAAAAGGCCCTAAAACATGAGAAAGGATGTAGTGTGGTTTATCAGGGTAGCTACTGTTTGAAATTATTTTTCATCTGTCTTGAGAGTTTTAATTTAATTGCCGTGGCCTTTGAAAAGTTTTTAGCAGCTAGAAAATTTAAACCGCATGAATGTGTTTTCCCAAAAACTTGGTGAGAAAGAAATCTTGCACATCTAATTTCTTCAATATTAATATTTATTCTCCCTCTGGGAAGAGTCTTGTAATTCCGAGGAGATCTTCGTTGTAATGCTGTTTCATATATGAATGCATTGAAAATATATTCTCTAAAATTTTTTTTTAATTGAAATTTATGAACTTTACTCCTGTCTTTGAAATACCTTTTCATTTACAGGGATTTGTGTAAAATTTTCTTTGCTACTACAGAGATATGGGATGAAATGAATGAAGTGAGATTAAAATATTGGAAGAAATGAAAAAAAGTTTGCTTATGCTTTTGTTATTTTACTTATTTTTGTGAGGATACCAGTCTTTAAAAATTTTAGCATGTCTCATTTCCAGATGAGATCGTTAGTTGGACAGTTTTTGAATTGGTAACATTGCTTTGATACCAGTATACGAGATTAGTTAATCCTCAAATTTTTCACAGTGACAGTGTTGATAATAAGCCCAACAGAATCTTATTTTCATGATTATGTACTCTGGTCCTTGATTTTAAAAAGGAGTAACAAATAGTTTTAGTGTTTGTTTTCTTTCCAAAATGAAAGTAAGGAATAGGACAGTTTTAGTTTTGTTTTGGTTTTTAAAAAATTATTTTTAACAATAAATGGTTATTGTGTTCATAAAAGTAGTTATGATTTTAAAGATTTTAAGCAAAGTATAAAAGACTTCATTTTTATGTTCTAAAAACACTAAGACAGTAAGTACACTGATACATTCAGGCCTTACCTTTTGTAATCTTTAGTTTTAACAAAATGTAGTCATAATATGAATATCATCCTTTATTAAAATGATGACAAGTCACTGTGCATAGATGGTACAGATATGCATGACCAGCTGAAAATTGTCACTTCGTAGTTATTATTGAAAAGAGACTCACTTGTTTGATAATAGGCCTCCCCTACCTGTCTTTTTACCTTTATTTTTAACTAGATAAAACATTTCTAGGTTGATCTTAGGAAGAGCAGTAGCTATAAAACAAAAATTTCAATATTGAAAGTTAACTATTTCATACTTCAAATTCAATATTAAAAATTAATTTCTATTTGGTAAATTTTATTTTTGGATGGGCTAATGGGCCAAATAGTAAGTAAACTAAAAGCTTACTACTACATGTAGTAACTCTTAGATTGTAGGTGTGTCTTAGGATATGTAATTAAAATGGTAATCCTCAATAAATATATAATAAACTGTTGCTTGTTTTGAACAATTCAGTACATTGTTTTTGTAAGATTGAAATTTTAAAATAAGGAGCTCTTATTTCATTCTCTTGTTATTGAATCACTTTAATTGTTGCCTTTTCTTGTTGTTGACCAATATGAAAAATGAAGATAACTTTAGATAAATACAAGCTTATATTGTAATGATTTTGGACGAGGTGAAGTTTCTTTATGACTGTAGCTACATGAAGATACCAGCTGTTTATTAGTGAAACGATTTGTAAGCTATGTCACTCAGCATAGGTTAGCATTTAATTTCACTCAGTTGTGTCTGCCGGTGTTTACATACAGGCTGTGTCTTTATAAATTTTATTTATAATAATGTTTTTCTAGTTTTCTGGGGAGTTTTATCTTTGGGTCTTCCGTGAGTGTCTGTATAGATTAAATGGGTGGAATCTTTGTTCATTTCTACTAAGTGTGGCAGCATCAGCTTAGACTTGCTGGACATTTAGCATTATTTAATATTTAATATTGCAGCTATATTTTTAATTTATGGAAAATCTGTTGTGATTAAAGGAAAGCATTTGTAGAAATTGTTCCTTTTCTGCAAAGTATTTTTGTTCATCCTGTTGAAAAGATACTTGTATTAAAAAGATTCTTTGATCTTTGTGTTTACTCCTGTATTTTAAGAGTTTACGTATCTTTTTGCTGTTTTAAGATTGTGCCTCCAAATTACTGAGTCCAACAGACGTGCTTGTCTTTTTATACGTGTGAGGGTTTCTCTTCTGTTTCCAGTGAATCCTAGGATTGAAAAATCAGTCTGTATCAGGCTAGCAGAGAACATTCAAAGCAAAGATAGCTTTTTCTTTTTGTCAGAGTAAGTATCATCCGTGTGACTGCCTGCAGGCTCTGGGAGGAATCTCTTGCAGCTGTTGCACTTCTTACTAGACTCATTCAGTTTGAGCATTGAATCATCATACATTGTCCTTCCTTTTTTCACGCTTTGATTTTCTTGCCAAGATTATAAACTTGTAAAAGTACATGGCATATACTTATTTTGTAGGCCATGTCATCCATATAGGTGTCTGTGGAATTTTTTAAAAAGATTTATTTATTTGAAAGGCAGAGTTAGAGAAGGAGAGACATATCCTCTATCCGATGGTTCATGCCCCATATGGCTGCGACAGGAACTGCTTCTGGGTCTCCCACATGGGTACAGGGGCCCAAGGACTTGGGCATCTTCCACTGCTCTCCCGGGCACATAAGCAGGGAGCTGGATCAGTGGCGGTGCAGCTGGGACTCTTAGCCAGCGCCCACCTGGGATGCTGGCAGCGCAGATAGTGGCTTAACCTGCTGTGCCACAACTCCAGCCCCTATGGAATGTTACCTGATTTTGTTGTTTTATTACAGAAGATTTTCAAACATACAAATATTAAAATGATGTAACAAATGTCCGTCTACCCTTATCCGGGTTCCATGATGATCAGAATTTGAGGTGAACATGATATATCCTGCTCTTTTTTCCCCTCCACCTTGGAATACTTTAAGTTTGTAAAACACACACGTATGTCTATCAAATAAGCACTTTATCATACCTAACAAAATTACTCAGTACCTAGACTGTGTTGTCTCAAAAATGCCTTTGTGTATTTGTTCAAGTAAAGATCCAATAGGATTTTTGCATTGCACATACTTAATATGTTTCTTTCTTTTTGACAGGCAGAGTGGACAGAGAGAGAGACAGAGAGGTTTTCCTTTTGCTGTTGCTTCACCCTCCAATGGCCGCCATGGCTGGTGCGCTGCGGCCGGTGCACCGCGCTGATCCGATGGCAGGAGCCAGGTGCTTCTCCTGGTCTCCCATGGGGTGCAGGGCCCAAGCACTTGGGCCATCCTCCACTGCACTCCCTGGCCACAGCGGAGAGCTGGCCTGGAAGAGGGGCAACCAGGACAGAATCCGGCACCCCGACTGGGACTAGAACCCGGTGTGCTGGCGCCGCAAGGCGGAGGATTAGCCTATTGAGCCACGGCGCCGGCCTTAATATGTTTCTGATGTCTGCTATTAGAGTGAATCCCATGCCTCAGACTGTAACATTTTATCTTCCATGCCATCACTGGTTCTTCTGTAGTTTTTCCATTCAAGTCTGGCGGATTATTTGTGATTACCTTTTAATTGTAATTCTACCACAGATTTCCTATAAATTGATAGACTGAGAGGAGTGATTGCTTTTGGCACGAGTACTTCACAAGCACTGTGTACTTCCTTTTCATCCTCACAGGAAGCACAGAAATGCTTATCTGCCCTCTCAGTGGCTTTAAGATTAGTCTGTTCACATGTCGGTTAGATCCATGAAGTATTTTCTTTCACCTGATAGGTTTAGTATCCATTGGATATCAACACTACCTCTCTTAGGGGTTGCAAAGTAGTGTTTGTTTTTTATTTTAACAGTATTTCTTGAGTATTTGGAATTTTATGAAAATATACTTGAATCATCACATTTTTTCTGAAAATTTGTTCAGGAAAGACTGGACAAGTTTTAGCCTTTTATCGAGTTTCAGAGAAATATATTGGTGTCTGCTGCACTGTGGACATGATTTGTCTCCCAGCCTGGGCAGGTGATTAAATCCCAGAGTCATAAATTGGTGTTGCTAGGAACATGGGAACAATCCAATTACGGTGTCTAGGAGGTGGGAGTTCTTTAGATCCCTGGGGGGCATGTCCTCAGAAGGTAGCTCTCAGGTGAGGGTTAGATAAACACACAGGCCTGGCTGTCCTCTCTGCTTCCTCCTCTGCATGTCCCACCATCTGCCATCCTCAACAGTTGCCAGACCATTGGGGCCACCTGACCTTGGACTGTGAACCTCCAAAACTGAGCTGAAGTAAACCTTCCTTCCTAAATAGCTGTCATCAGCATTTAGTTGTAGTAGTGGAAAACTGAGAACAACAATGTAAGCAATTTGAGACATGAACCAAGGAGACATCATAGTTGGATTATTTTGAAATTGGAAATTCATGAATTCATGAGTGGTTATATATTTGATGCATTTTAGTCATTTACCACTATTGTTTTCACTTGGAACTCAGATTATCCCATTTTTATTTGGGTGGGTAGAGGAAAGACGACTTCATGTTGATGCCCATTTTTTTTTTTTAAATGTAATTCTAGTCTTTGATAGCTTCTGGCACAACATGTGCTGGTTTCATCTTGTATATTTTCTGCCCAGTGCTGACATTACCCTGAATTTAGTTGCAATGCCTGTAGTCAATGGTTCTCAGAATTTTTGGTCTCAGGATAGATACCTTTATTGTCCTAAAAATTATTGAAGAACCCAAAAAGCTTTTATTTGTGCAAGCTATATCATTGGCATTTTCCATATCAGAAATTAACAAAATTTTTGTTTTATGGATTTTCAGATAAATGACAGGGAGTGAACATGTAGCCTAGTGGTTAAGATGCCCGTACCCCACATCTCACAGTCTGGGTTTGATTTCTGACTCTGCCGCCTGACTGTAGCTTCCTGCCAGTGCCAGGGAGGCAGCAGCGATGGCTTGTGTAATTGGGTTCCTGCCATCCAGGTGGGAGACTTGGAATGTGCTCCTGAATCTGGCCTTGGCCAAGCTCTGGCTTTGTGGGCATTTTGGGAGAGAACTAGCAGATGGGAACTGTCTTTGTTGGTCTCTTTCTGCCTCCCGAGTAAATATAGCAATGATACACCATTATGTGTTTTATATATAACATTTTAAAATGAATAACAATGTTCAAAACAAAATTTAGAAATGTGTTTACACTTTTTATGTCTAACAGGATACAGCTGGATTCTCATTCTACAGTCAATGTGTTGCAGTATGTTCAGGTAAAGTACTTAAGAAAATATCAACTCGCATAGATAAAGGGGAGGAATACTTTAATGACTTTTCCAGGTCATTTGTGCATGTTCTTTGATGCTGCATCAAAATTTGATAGATGATAGTTTCTTTTTTAAAACATTTTTATCTGAAAGGCAGAACACAAGTCTTCCATCCACTGATTCACTGCCCACCATAGTTGAGGCTAGGCCAGGTGAAAACCAGGAGCCTGGACTTTGACCTGGGTCTCCTACATGGTTGGAAGGGACCCAACTACCTGATGCTTCACAGGGTGTGCATTAGCAGGAAGCTGGATTGGAAGTGGAGCAACCAGGACTTGAATCAGGCGCTCTAGTGTGCAGTGCGGGCAGCCCAAGTGGTGGCATAACTGCCATGCCACAATGCCAGTTGCAGTGAAGAACTTAATCAGCTGTTTGTTACACTGAAATCCAGTGACCTGTCTCATACTTTGAGTGGATCATTAACTCATATGTGATCTTTTAAAAGCACGAGTATTATTGGGAAATAAATGGGTATTTGGGAAATATTGGCTCACTGAGTTATGCAGTGACATGTTTGATTACGTGGTACTTTTTAAAAAATCATTTTTAAAGCTGTTAAACAGATACATAAAATTATACATATTTCTGAGATACCATGTGATGTCCCAATATATGTATAAATTGTGTAGTGTGCAAATCAGGTTAAACATATCTACTCGAACATCATTTCTTTACGGTAAAAATCCCATTTTTTAAATGTCAACATCGATCTCATGAGAAAAATCCAAGTATTGGGAAGTTATCAAGCTCAGAGTCGGGCACACAAGTTTTCTAAAATTCTAGTTTTCACTTGGATGCTCAGATTTCATCAGGACAATAAATAGTGACAGTTGTTTTCCTTGAATGGCAGCTCACGGTATTCAACTGAGCAAGATGTTGAGAAAGTGCCAGGTGCTCAGGTCTAAATTAGTATGGTTTTCCTGCCAGTCCTTTCAACTAAGATGTCCCGTGAAATGACAGCGTGAGTCTGCAATTCTGGTGCACATGGAGGAAAGCACTCCTCTCTGTGCAGACTGCCTGGCAATTTTGGAGTGCGGCAGCAGACAGGTGTACGTCCCATTTCCTGCATGGGAATATGGACATGTACTCTGAGGCCAAGGCCATGACATTGTTTTTACGACTTCGTCAAGGATATTCTCAGATAAAAATGAAGAAGAACACATGCTATTAGCATAGTTTGTTCCCGCCTCCTTGATTGGTTTGTAAGCACCAGCTGTTCTGTCCACCACTGCTTTAGCATCGCAGTGTGACACTGTGAAAAGTGGAAATAATAGATGATGTCTTGGTTTTATCCTGAAGATAGTTTTGATCTCATTGACACTTGGAAGAATCCACAGGCCACACCTTGAGAACTGCTGTTTTTTTCTCCATTAGATCAGATGCTGTTTTTTTAGTTTACTGTTTTTATTGTATTAAATAGATATTAATTACTTTTTTAAGATTTTAAATATGCATGAATGTTTACATTTTTCCATTTTTAAAATCCACTAATGAAAATCTTTTTCTCTTTAGTACTGTTAATATAATTGTATCGATGGATTTCCTAATAATGAACCACTCCTGTTTCTGGAATAAGTACTATTTGAACATGATTGATCATTTGATTCTGTATGCTAGCAATTTATTTAGAATTTTTACATCAATATTTCTTCTTTGAGAGAAAGCTCCCACCTGCTGATTTACTCTCCAAATGCCTGCAACAGCCAGGGCTGGGCCTGGGACTGAAGCCAGGAGCCAGGAGCTCAATCTGGGTTTTC